ACCCCCTACCCCCCACCCAGGCTACTCCCCTCGTCCGCTGAAAGTCAGCGAGTAAAACAGCGGACGGGCGCGGGGGAGCGCGGCAGCAGCCATTAGGGTTAGTCACACCAGGGCCTCCCCACCCGCCACGCGACCCGGGGGCGCCCCCGCCGGGCTTTTTAAAAGCCTCCCGCCGCCACGCCCGCCGCGCCTCCATTGGTCGGAAGGGGACCCCCCTCCTCCGCCACCATTGGCTGAGGCGGGGAGAGGGGGAGGGAGGGAGAGAGTGGCGGGAGTTTGGAACGCTCGGGCCGTTCGCCCCCCCGCCGCACCACGTGCTCCCGGGCGCGCGCCTGGCCGTGCCCTCCCCTCTCCTCTCCGCCCCCTTCCCTGGGGCCGGGGCCTGGGCCTGGAGCCGGGCCCGGGGCCTGGAGGTCGGATTTGGGGACCGCGGTCTGGGGCCTGGAGGTCGGATTTGGGGACCGGGGCCTGGGGCTTAAGGCCGGCACTTGGGGCCTGGGGGCAGAATTTAGGGCCCGGGCCCGCGTTCCGGCCCTGCCCGCCTCAGTCGAGGACCCCCCACGAGTGAGGGACCAGGCCCAGAAACTTCTCCCCCCCACGCCGTTCCCCCGAAACAGCGCTGCGCCAGCCCCCCGTGCTCTCCTGGAAGAGGGTATTTATCGATTCCATGATGTGTCTCTGCGCAAGGCATATTCTCCCCGCACGATACCCACTCCCTGGAGCGCTCGCCTCGGACGCCGGCTGTCTCGCCTCTGCTGCGTCACGTTCCTCAGCATGGTTTTTTGTGCATTTGCTTTTTGACCCTGAGACTTCTGCGGAAAAGCAAGGCATTTCAAGGCTGCACAGTTTTGCAGGTACAACGGAGTATGAAGCAACGGCGTAGAGCTCTCAGTCTTTCTAAATTTAGTCGTACATATACTGTACAGCATTGTTCTGGTAGAGAACCTCTTTAAAAACATATTTTACACCTATTCAGAAAGATGTGTTCCTGGACTAAGAAGGAAGTAACTCTGCCAGACGTTATGATTTTTATTGGACTTTCAAAAGGCAAGCTACAGACACAGACTTCCTCCTAGACGCTAGCTTCCAAGCAGCGGTAATCTCAGGTTCTTTTCCATGAAGCGTCAAGTAAAATCTGTTATAAAATCACGTGTATTTTAGAAACATTTTCTGTGCATGATGTTAGGCTCAGCCCCCCTGTACTCTGTCATGGTAATCTGCATCGGCTGGAAGGCGCCCAGGGAAGCGAGGACCCTTCTCTCCAAACTGAAAACTTCCTATTAGGAGGAGGACTGACTTTCACCTTAACACCACCTGGGACCATGCAGATGATCTCCTTGTTTAAGCATTCAGCTTAATTCCAGGGAAGAGGCTGAAACCACCAGAAAGGACTGGAGCGGAAGTCCTTATGCCAACATCCTGATGATGAGTCATTCATGATAGAATTGGAGCACAGCTTGTCAGTCCCTGGTGACTCTATGCCAACATTAGGAAGATGAAAGAGGGTTTCAGGACAACAAAACCTTTGATTCTGGACCATAATTTCGTGGCCACCAGGAAGGTGGTAAGTTTTTTGCACCTCACTAGGATTCTTAGTCATCTCTTCCTTGAGGCTTAGGCACATGTACAAGCAGCTCCTCAGCTGTGGTGACTTGTGAAGTGCTGCTTTCTTTCAGAATCCATGTTAGGTGCCCTGTAAGATCGCAGCTGTCCAGGTCAAGCTGGAGAATACCACGGGGCAAGCAGTAGCCTTCAAAGATTGGAACACTGTGGGTGACACCGTAACCGGAGTCCATCACACAGCCTGTGATGAGACCTGAAGCACAAGAGTGTGAGCACAGCCTGGACAGACACACAGAGCTGGTACCTCAGCATGCTCGGGGAAGAGCTCTGCCGTTTTTTCTCTGTTAACCAGTGGGTTCAGTGGTGCCTCAGCCAGAATCACCGTCTGCTCACTACTTTTCATCTTCAGGTCATTGTCATAGACATTCTTCCCCACAGCCTCCCTGTCTCCCCAGGACGTGATAATCCCGCGCTCTTTTGGGTACCTACAGGAGTCAGACAAAATACAGCAGCGCTGGATGAGTACTTTTCCACCCTGGTCTCCATGGCAACACCAGCATCTCCCCTTGGTGAAGGTAGTCTGTCTGGGGATGTCCCAGGTAAAGGACATTAGGAAAAAGCACTTCATGTACATTTAAGTTATGTGTGTTGTTTTGAAAAAATACTGGAAAGATATTTGGCCCTTTCAGAGGCCAGGCAACTTCAGCAGCTGTGAGAGCTGAGACAGTTCAGCTCTTCAGAGAAGGTTATAACACGTTACCTAAACAGGACCTTCCTTCTTGTCCTGGTCTCGGCTGGGATAGACCTAATTTTCTTTCTAGTAGCTGATATAGTGTTATGTTTTGGGTTCAGTATGAGAAGAATGCTGACAACACGCTGATGTTTTCAGTTGTTGCTGAGTAATGTTTAGTCTAAAGTCAAGGTTTTTTCAGCTTCTCACTCCCAGCCAGCAAGAAGGCTGGAGGGGCACAAGGAATTGGGATGGGGCACAGCCAGGGCAGCTGACCCCAACTGGCCAAAGGGGTATTCCATACCATGTGACACCACATCTAGTATATAAACTGGGGGGAGTGGGGTGAGGGGCATCGCTGCTCGGGAATTAACTGGGTATCGGTCGGCAAGTGGTGAGCAATTGCTCTGTGCATGACTTGTTTTGTATATTCCAATTATTATTATTATTATTATTGTAAATTTTATTTTATTTTTTATTTATTTTTTATTTTATTTTATTTATTTTATTTTAACAATTTTTATTGTTATTATAATATCATTATTATTATCATTGTTATCATTATCATCATTATTATTATTTTCTTCCTTTCTGTCCTGTTAAACTGTCTTTATCTCAACCCATGAGTTTTACTTTTTTCCCCGATTCTCTCCCCCATCCCATGGGGGTGGGGGGGGCGGAGAGTGAGTGAGCAGCTGCGGGATGCTTACTCGCCGGCTGGGGTTAAACCACGACACTTCTTTAACTGTGGTTGTCAAGCTATGACTGAAAATCTTATTATATCAATAATAATACATATTCATTAGTTAATTTGTATTTTGTGTTTTATAAGTTTATTTACAATGATTAAAATTTAATCCTCGGAGACTGCTGAAGACCATGCAGGAACAAAATGGGTGTTATGAATATTGGGGCAATACGCGGTTGGGCAGAAGTGTGGCTGCAACGTCAACCTTTTCACGTGCTACAGGGTGCTACAGTTGCGCAAAACAGATCTTGTGATCGTGGTGTGCCAGTAAGAACACAAGTGCCTTCCCACAAGTGTTTTTCCATGTGGACCTGAGAGATGTTGCAAGCATGAAAAGAGCTAGTAAGGATGCTTGTTTTTCCCAAATGCTCTTTTGTGGCACCTCTTATACACACATCCTTGCAGCTGTTACAAACCTATGCCTGATGACAGCAGTAGTGTTAAGAAATCTTGCAGCTGCCGCTGCCAAACTCAACAGAATATTGTCGCTGCTTGCTTCCAACATTCTTCTGTTTCCCCTTTCCCTTCCCTGTCACTGCTTTCTTCTGGAGCCTTTCCTATTTCATTGCTCTTGGCTTTTCTTACTCCTCCTCCCACTGGCTGGGATTTGGCTTGCATTTCCCTTTGCAAAGGATGGGAAAGCTAAATTCCCTTCTACAGCTCCTTCCAGGATCAGGTATTTCAGTGCCTGGTGCACTAGAAAATCCAGGCGGATTAGTCACTTCCCCATTTTCCAAGCTCCAGCTGTAGCAAGAGGCCTGCAGAGGAGACGCTGCCTGATGTAACGCATTCTCTGTTCAGCTCCCGGCTTGCCTGCCTGCTCTCGCCAGCTGCTTTATTATGGTCCTGCCCTGCAAGGCTAGCAGTGCCAAACAACTCCCTTCCTGCTCTTTGGCTGGGCTGTCTCATTCCGATTTCTGATAAACACGGGCTGAAACTGCCCTGCTTTTTTCCTGCAGGAACTGCAGTGCTTTACATCTCCCCTTGGCAGCCCTGCCCAGCTTGTCCTGCTCAGCCCACCTGTATTTGCTGGCACCAGCGGACAAACACCTCTGTCGTGCTCTGCTCTTCTCATTTCCCTGGGCTTTTCAGCTCCTTTTGTTGGCATCTTTCTCCTTGCCTGTGCTTTGTTCCCAACAAAGTAGTCCTTCGCAGCAGGAGGTAGATTTGGCATTTTAAGCCATGCTGGTTCAGAATGACGCTTCGGTGTGCAATGCTAACCGAGGGTTTGGCTTTTTATTTACAGATACGTTGAAAATCGATTAGAGTATTTGAGGGAAGACCATGATCTTGAAGTTTCTTGTTCATGCCAATGCTGTTATTCCTGGCGTGCGCGGCAGAAGGGCAGCAGTGACATCCCTGGGGTGGTGCGGAGCTGCCAGCACGGGCGGGCTGTGCTTCGGTGGGGATGCAGGCCCGTGGGTGAGCCCGGTTTTTGGGCACCCGTGGGACACAAGACCGAAGCAAGAAGGGTCGTCGCTGGGGGTCCAGGCGGGGCGGGACGTCATTAGCGGCGCCGCTTAGACACTGTGGCAGGCGGCGTTTCCGTAGTGTAGTGGTTATCACGTTCGCCTAACACGCGAAAGGTCCCCGGTTCGAAACCGGGCGGAAACAGCAGCCGGGGTTGGCTCTTTTCTTCCTCACGCGTTGTTCCGCTTCCGAAAGTAATCACAACCGATCCCTGCAAACCGGCAGCAGCGCATCGCTAAACCTTTAAAAACACCTTTAGCTGCCTTTTTTTTTTTTCTCAGTTGGAAGCACAAGCACGGCGAGACGCCTCGGCGCTACTGCATCAACAGTAACGACGACATTAAGCCCATTTGATTTACCAATCCAGGGATGCAGGCCGAGGATCTACACCGCGGGAGCCGACCCGCGGGTAAGGCAGCGCAGCCACCGTCTCCCCGCCGCCGCGGACACCGGGCTTGGCGACCGGCCGGCAGCGGTCCGCCGCCCCGGGCGCGACTACATCTCCCGGCATGCACAGCGCCTCGCCGCGCTGACGGCGGGCCCCGCCGCGCCGCGCCGCATCATGGGAGTTGTAGTCCTCGCCTCCCCGACCCTCCCGGGAAGCCGTTCGCAGCCTTAGCCCTGCCCGCTCCCCTCAGCGGGACGGGTCGCGGCCCCGCTCCCGTTTCCCGCTTTGTCGCCGGTG